GATCAGTTAGAAAAGATATAGCAACCCGAGTCCGACCAGTCTGAAGGTCTGACCCGAGTTTGGTGGTTGTAGCTTTAAAAGTCTAGGAGGAGATACATTTAAAAATTTAAAAAAATGTCTCAGAAGAAGAAGAAGAAGTTTAAATAGGATTTCAGTAAGTTGGCTTTTTCAAGCCAAATTAATGAGTGAGTCACCAGAGTCATTCTTTTTAAAGATTCATTCAAAATGCTTATTCATTTAGGAATGAAGCAAATCACGGTCTTTATGAATGGGTCATTGAGTCGCTTTCTCATACGATTCGTTCAAAAATGTCGATTGGCGGAATTGTTGAATAAGTTATGTTATTATTGTTTTCTTTGCGCACAAAAAGTATTCTTGTAGCTTCGTAAAATTACGGTTGAACCCCTGATGTCACATGGATTATTTTAACGATGTCCTCTATCTCTTTAAATCCTAGCACCTGCAACTGCCAACACAAGACAGCATCACTACTCTGAGAGATTGCTCAGGGGTCAAAACTCTGCGTCCCTGAACAGAGCGCTTTCTGTTAATAGTTAATAGTTTCAAAAACAACAACAACATTTATTTATAAAGCACATTTAAACACAATGTAAATGAATAAAAGTAGCAAATTTGGTTACACTTTATTTTAAGGTAATTAGAACATAATTACAGTTGTTCTAATTCTAATTACAGTGTAATTATACATTTAAGTACTGAGTAATATTAATTAACTATATGTACTTATTATATGGTTAGTGTTACTTACATGTAATTATACATAATTAATTGTTATTATAATAGTAAGTACATGTGTAACAATGACACTTAAAAAAAAAGTGTTATCGTAATTTCTTTCACTTTTTAACTTGAAAGCACGAACCTGTGACGAGCTCTCGGACTTCCATGTCGTCGGATCTCCTCAGGAGCCTCAGCAGCGCAGGAATGCCGTCCGAGTTCTTGATGGCCACCTTGCTGAAGTTGTCCCGGCCAAAGGAGATGTTCCTCAGTGCGCCGCAGGCCTTGCGGTGGACCTCGGCTTTGGGATGATCCAGGAGCCCCACCAGGACGGGGATCCCATGCAGCTGCCTGACGTCTTGCTTGACCGTGTCGTTCTCGTAGCAGAGGTGCTGCAGGTACGCGGCGGCGTTGGACTTCACCGGGTCCATGGGGTGGCTCAGC